ACCATCCCACCTTAAAATTAGTTTTGAGTTGAGATAACCAAATTGGGGTCCCTGGCTTGCACTTACCGGTTTCGGCACTCAGAACACCGAGAACTGCTTTAATTCGGAGATATTTAATTTCAAACTTGCGGTTTTCAGATTCTAAGGGGCTAATGCATTTGAATGCTCCCTAAGAAGTTGTGACGTCACACTGAAAACTTTTTTACACCTTCCTCGGGTGTAAACACCTCAGGAGGGTGTAGCTGAAATTCTGCGTTTTTTACCCTCGTCTGAGGTGTAATATTTACACTCAAATAAAGTGTAACAAGACACTCGCCCGGGGCGTTGACTTTGCACGTTTACACTCTCCAGGCGGATGAAAAAGGCGGGTACACTCGTGATTGACCTTTTACTGTAGTGTTACACCTAGAGCAGAACACGCCTTCCGAGTGTATATATCGATCCGATTTCGGGTGTTGTTGATTCCAGATCCCCTTCCCCTTTCCTCCCCCTTTCCCCTGCACCGGTCGCGCTCACGCTCTTTACGAAAAATAAACACCAGTATAATGTCAGAATATTTTAACGTTTATTGGACGTTCATCCGTGCAACAAGTACATGAAACGGCGAGTCCTCTGCAGATATGAACCGGGGCTAGGCGTTCGAGTCCAGCGCCTTCGAGCGCGCTCGAAAAAGATAGCGATGCTCATGATGTACATACAGCTCGTCCTGCATGTTCGCCATTGTTTGGAATTTGGCGATCTTCTCCCTTTCGACCCAAAGTGCGCCATCTGCGATGGTGGACGGTCCGTTCGTTGTCGCAGGGCCAAAAACGACCTGCTCCTCACGCATCGCGAGTAGGTGTTCGAGTTCCTTCTCTGAAACACACATGGGAAGCGAAATTACTCATACTTGCCGCTGCCAGAAAGTTTAACCCGCGCCCGGGTGGGCCTCTCAGCCAACTTCGCCATGGGGGAGGAGGCACACCAGGTTATCTAAGAAAGTAGCTAAGACGCAGACAAAAGCAACAGATACCTCGTTATAGATCGTTCAGAATCATTCAGGTCATTTTTTGATCAGGTCATTGCTGAGGTCACTGGAGGTCTCCAAACGTAAAAATTTCACGAATTTCTAGTATTAAACAAGGATGAAGCAAAAACCAATAATCCTAGTGCCATAAATATCATCAAGAGAAGCAGAGCAGAGCCAGCACCACGGCGCGCCTCATTTTTCCCATCCCTGCATTACAAATTAGCTTTGGAAATCACGCACGTCCTAATTTTTCGAGAAAAAGTATTATCTCGAAAATGCTGTCATCTACTTACCCGTTCCGGAGCAGGTGGGTCTTCCTCAATGCTCAATAGTCACACCAGCTCAGCACACTAACAACCACGTTCGTTGAAGCACAATGGCGCACTGAAACTGAAAGCCACGTGGGTGCGAGCGGCGTCACGCGCATGCGCCTTTGCCGTCCGGTACATTACACTTCAGAGCAGTGTTGAGCCAATACAAAAATGCGGCAATCGCAGATCAAGGATCCTTTGTCAATAACACAGCACACATGAAGCGCGATCATCTACACTACAGGAAGGTGTTATTCGTAAATGAACAAAAGCTAGGTGTTAAAGTTCAGAATTGCACTTCCATAAGGTGTTGTATGAGTGTGATTTGCACACCAACGAGGTGTAATTTCGCTTGGATCAGTTTCTAAGCGTAATTGCCGTGTTATAGACCTGCGTATAGTGCTCAGTCTGCTATTTACACCTTTAGGTGGTGTTAATACGGCGATGTGAGTGTAAAAATGCTTTCAGTGCAGCGAGAGCTAACGATTTCTAAATCTTATGGGGGGTGGGGGCTGGGGGCACTCCCGTTTCTCAGTGATATCTTCCAAACCGTTTAACGTATCAACACGAAACTTGTGGTATCTTCAGCGGCATCAATTTGACACCTTGTGTCCAAATTTCAACTTTAGTTTCTAGCTACCATAGTTCGGCCGAAAATGATGTCAGAGTGACGTCATGTCGGCCGATTTTTATGCAGAACATTGAACTACGGCAATCGCTCTCAAGAGCTCAGTTTTTAAGCTGGGTCTAAGCTCTTTGGGTACATGAGTGGACTTAGAATCAAAGAAGCTATCAAACTACTATCACGGATATTCAAATTTTTGGAAATTTCGAAAATGATGCATATATAATTTATAAATGGTTTCTACTTTCTAGGAAAAAAGGAATACATGTAATTGAACACCCAACGATGACCTACACTAGAAATGCATAGCCCATTATCCTAAAAAATGGCCAAGGTAGGTATAGGTACGCATTATAGTAAAATGTCACAAAAATATATTTTCAAATCCATTTTTCAGTGCGTTTTTCACATCGTACAACAATGTAAATAGCACCATCGTGTTCCTGAACTCACACTGCATCTCATAGGCGGCGGAACTGGGGGAAGGGGCACCGGGGTAGGTACTGTTCTTTGATTTTGGCATTTTAACATAAGCCCTATGGGTGTTCCACGGAAAGAATGGGACCAAAAGTCGGCAATGCCCCCCCCCCTTTGATTGAAGGTCTTCCACCGCCACTGCCGCATCTGATAGGCACCTTTGCTGTTGAAAAATTTCATTTTCAAAATTTAACCTCTTTTGACCTGAAAGTGACCTGACCTCAGGAAAATTCAGCTGAAAATGATCTCAAATGACACAGACAACATTGTTTTAGAAATATATGAGTAAAATGGACTATTAAACATGTGTCACGTGACCGATACATGATATAAAATTTCCGTGACCTAGGATGACCTTACCTCGACCTGAAAAATTAGAAGTACAGGTTCGGAACCCTCAGGGTATCTAAGGCATATATCAAGGAGTGCGTAAACCATGAGCCTGATCAGACCGGGCGGCCAGAGCCTAAATCGTGAACAAGCCAAAATGCTGATAATTTTTACTTTGACTTGACCTGTGACGTCATCGGTGACCTCGAAGTCAATGAAATTAGGTTCAGCAACGACAGTTTTTCCAGGACTATCAGACGGCGTTTGAGTGTTGACGATCGGCCCAGTAAATTCGGAGATAGGAGGGGGGCTCTGTAGAGCCCCCCTCCCCCCTACTCAGTCACTCGCGTTACGGAAAATACCCCAGTCATTCGCGGGTTAACAAGTTGCATGAGTTTTTGGATGCGCCCACACGATAGTCTCATCATTCATAAAAATGCAGCTTTTCTACCTAGGTAGTCATAAGCTCCACAAATGTGGACAGAAACAAAACAAAAATTGTGGCATCTATTTGATGCATCCCCAAACTTCAATGCTTCCGCCATGTCGAGCTCGAGCTTTCTGGTAAAGAATAGCAAGCAAATGGCAGTTGTGCGCATCTTTCTCCGGAGAGATGAATAACAAGTGGGAAAATCCTCGGAAAATACTTCCAATAAAATAGAGGAATAGGTCAAACATACTTCTTATTCAACCTTATGTTCTTTTACCAAATAACCCCTTCAAAGTCAAATTTTAAACTTAAAAAGTCCATCCCTCGGTCCAGCAAATGCACGGGTGTCAATTGTGTACATCGCTCATGTTATGCGTTCAACATCACCCGGTGCGCTACATTGTCACTGACAGTCCTAGTCAAAGCCAGATGGGGAGAGGGAAACGCCAAAATGTATGCTTAGGTGTCCGTTTCTTTTCTGTGCATCGTGATAGACGTTATGTCTAAATCGGGTCTCAGAGGGGACCGGGTCACGCTCCCCAATGGACACTGGTGTTCATGGTGACCGTTCTACAGGAGCGACCCCAGCCGGACTAAACGGGCATGGGCAAACGCCCACTTATGGTCCAATGTTGGATTCTTTCCATGCACTGACAATTGACATGCACGTTGTGACTAAAAAAATCGAAGAGACCGGTACCTACATGCGGACGCAAATGCCGACAACCGTTCTATGCCTCGGTAGCGGCCCCGTCCGGAGCTGAAGGGCGAAAGTGGGGCCAACCATCGAGGTGGCAGGCGGGACCGACTGATGGTCGGGTGTACGAGGTATTTCTTTTCGTGCATAATATTATGCGGTGAAAATAGAGTCCTTATGGAAGCATTGGTATTAAAGGGGGAAGTTCCAGTTCATTCTTCCTCCTGCATCATTCCACATTTGCACTGCAGCGTGCGGTAAAAATTCACAACGAATTGAATCAGCCTATGGAAACTGGAAAGATATATTTTTATAGGGGCCATAGAGAAACATTTACAATGCTCGCAAACAGGATCCCTATTCTGATTCATCAACGGAAGGTACGCTAGCGCTTTTCTCCTGAAACTGTTTTAGGGGTCGCCTGATAAGTAACGGAAAGAGAATCCCGTGAGAACCTTGATGAAATCACGTTAAGAGCATGCAATGTTTGGAAACAAATCACCAGTGGCAAACAGAATCTAACAGCAGGCACGAGGCATGTTGGTACTATGATGGTTGCCCGTTGCAGGAGCCCTTTCTTCGCATAAGAAACACCTACCTATTTGTAAAACAAAAACATCCCAAACGTCATAAACTGTAGGTAAAGCCGGAACAGTGGAAAGAAAATAATGCACAGCCGTAGATATTCTCACCAGGATAGGGCACGGCCCATAAGAGAGGCGTGCGACAGGTCCATGGGTGTAAAAAGGCACGTGTCATTGTGCCACCGGCCACGTGCTATCGGTTTTGAACCATCAACAAAAGCGTCCGCCGCTGAGTTATATTCACCGTCTGGAATCAAAGAGTTATCTGCTGGATAATAATCAGGGTTAGGTAGGTCAAGAGGTACTACACGTAACGTAACTCCACAACGATGAATCAGTAGGTACAATACAGACAGTGGAAGTTGCCGTCCGATTCCACCCTCCAGATTCATCTAGAAACGGTGCTAAAAACATCTCCCATCACCTGTGGTTGGATTGATTCATGCATCGCAGACCGATCATGTTGCCGCTCCGACCAGCTGAAATAGGTAAATCGGTGACGGGTCAGCAATGCAAATGTGAGCGCAAGAGCCTCACCTGTTCAGGAGAGCACGCCCGGTACGGCCTGCCGGCACGCCTTCTTCAGTCGTGTCTGCTGGAGGAGCACGCCGCTCGCCGCCGCGTGGAACGCCCCCAACGACCAACAACAACCTGCGCGAGCGTGCGCGAGCGGAGCTCGTCCAGCGCCGCGCCGCCCGGGCAATAATTTTGTCCAGCGACCGTCGCCATAGAAACAGCGCTCGCTCTGTCATCTATTGGCGGTCAGTTGTACTAGGAGTTCTCCAGCTGACCATTGTTTAGTTTTGAAAGTTACATAGAATACTAAGTAATAATCATATTACTCAATTTCTTCAGAAATGTTTTTATTTTAAACTGAATTTTGACCATATCGCAGTAAATGGTATTTTTACTCTCAGAAATAGATCTTGGTAACAGGTCCGTAAACAAGTATGGAGGTGCGCAACGCTCGTCGATTTGTATGAAATCGCATGTTAGTGGGTAAAAATCTTCTTTAATATTCTTTTAATATTTCTAGCTATTAAACGTATGTTTGGCTTTCTCACTGTCAAAAGTTTTTATTAGACATTTCTTTTGATTGGAGTCCTTGGGTGAACAAGCAGCGAAGTGGAGGCAAGTGCTTAGGTAGGTACCTACCTTGACGTATCAAATTTTTCGGGATTGTTGGCACCCTTGTAGCCCTTTCTGACTAAAAAGTTTATCAATGTTATCAAATGTTGTACCTTACAATAATGTGTAATTTAATGTGTTTGAAAATCAAGTGATTTTTAATTCAAATTCCAATGCATCAGCATTGTGTCACTTATCGAAACCGTTCATTCCGAACACAATTCAGTTGGGGAAACTATGAGGAGCCAAACAAAAATTGGATTAGCCAATCAGCGGCTGGAGTGGGCGGGGCGATGACCATATATGGTCATAAAATCAGACAACTTCATCTTTTCAATGAATTTTAGCATTCAAATGAAAAAATAAGGCATAAGAATGTTTTTTAACAACACAAGGCCTACACTCACCCGGTGCATAATTAACTGGCGGCTCTAAATCGCAGAGTTATGACACAAGGTCAATCGGTGATTGGCAAATATGGCGGATTGAAACAGACGCGCCAAAAAATGTAAGCAGTACCGTGGTTTAAAAATGTCATTATTTTTATTATTTTGTTTATGGTTTTTCTAATTGTAGTTAAGTTATTATTTTAGAATTAAATATTTTTGTTTATTGTAATTAAATTAAATCTTTTAACAATTTTCTTTCATAAAACCAGTCCATTTATTGAATGGCCAGCTAATTGTGACGCCCAGAACCTCCAGAAAAGCCGTTTTCCTATCGCCATTTTCGGGTCAATTCGCCGAATTTCATCAAATCACACTAATTCCTAGTGAAAAATGGAAGCCTTTTCTCCTCAATAAGTGGATGCGATACCGCAAGTACTGGCTTGTTATACCGTTTTTCACCCTTAGTAGCGGGAGCTGCATTTATGCCCATATATGGTCATCAAAAGTCCATTTATTGACCAATCCATTTTTTTTGCTTTCGCCTCGTAGTTTCCCCAACTGAATTGGATTAGCCTGAGCCAGGTAGTTAGGTACCCATTTAGGGTATTTAGGTACCTGTATGTACTATCTTGATCTAGTTAGGTCAAGGTAGGTGCCTACCTACATATTCATGTTAAGTGCATTATTTTATAGCCTTAGTTTTCCAACTTTTCATTAACTGATCTACCTACTAGTTATTTTTAATTAACTTTATGTATTTATGTTTTAGTTCAACAAGTTAAATTACAATGTGAAAAGAGGGCCCATCATTTATGCATGTTTGATATAGGTACATAGGCAATGCTTTTCATTAAGTTTGTCTGAAATGTTTGCTGTCCTAAGCTTCTGTCGTCTGTGACTGTAACTGAGGCCTGTATTCACCATGTTGTTTTCAGTGGCTGTGCACCGATAGTGTGTCGGACTCACTCAGTGCGTCCACAGCAGTGGTGGTAGCTTGGCGTCCCGAGCCGGCTTCGGTGAGCACTCGGTATTTTGTGCAGTCCCTGTCCCCCACTGTCCATTAGCCAACGCTTGTGTGATGTGTTTGCAGAACGGAGCCTGGCCATCGATAAACAAGACACATGACCAGGTGCTTTTCATTAAGACATTTAATCTATCTATCTATATCTATTGCATGCTTTATTTTTGTGGTGGTACAAGTGTAGTGGAAAATTGAGCAATATATTGGCATTAAGCAATAAGCTATCAACCTATTTAATCGCTCAGTGCATAAAAATTGTATTCATTATTACGGCAGATTACAGATATGAAAGATTTATTTATGCTATGCTTTATTAGTGTTGAGATGTATTCAATATGCATGCTGTGTGTAGCATGCTTTCTGGTAATCGGGTCAATCTGCATCGATTCAAGCATCCAATCTTCAAAATATCGGCTGGCATATGAGGTCACGTGTTCCGTCACCACCGTCCGTGGCTGTCGGGCCGTCATATCCCGGCCGTCAATCAGTATCAGCTGTCAGATGGCTGACAGCACGGACCTCGGTCCACTCGTACCTGCCTGTCGCCGCGCTGTGTGTGTGGCGCCCCGGTGTTGTACTCTCACGTTCGTACTGCCGCAGTTTCCGCGGCGCCGCCGCCGGCCTCGCGAACATGGCTGCGCACGGCTCGCACCAGCCCAAACGGAAGGAGATCTACAAGTTCGAGGCGCCATGGACGCTGTACAGCATGAACTGGTCGGTGCGGCCCGACAAACGTTTCAGGTGAGCCGTCATAATGTGTGGGTGCTGTCGATGGATATGCTGCAGTGGTGTGAGATCAGAAAAGAAGTGCTACTGGGTAAAGCGTCTTGGTGCCTGGAAAACGTCACTTTGTTGCAAAGTGATTGCTCAGATGAATTTAGTCGATTTTGGATTTTTGTTTTTCTCATAGATAGATAAACCTTACTAATTGCGGCGCAGTTATCGTTAACTACGCCATTTTTCAAATACCTTCGTGACTTACGATTATTTTTAGAAATGTTATTTTAGGCCATACATCTACACACAAAGCTCTGTTTAGTTCTGACCCAGTCGTGTCTTTCTGTGGCTCTCCAGGTTAGCAGTGGGCAGCTTCATCGAGGAGTACAACAACAAGGTGATGGTGGTGCAGCTGGACGAAGATGCCGGAGAATTCTCGGCACGGTCCACGTTCGAGCACCCCTACCCTACCACCAAAATCATGTGGATACCAGATGGGGTGAGTGGCAGTCTGGTAGACCTGAAAGGGGCTTTGTTTCTGACGATTCTTTGATCAATTTGACATCAGAAGCTATTGAGCAGGATAGGCGGAAGTCACCCAAATATTTGAGAAGCCGATGTCTTCCAATATTTTTTTACGGCTTTGCATCGTTTGTATCAAATGAAGTCGCACGCGGTCTTGGCTTAGACGAAATTCGATGGTCTCTTTTCTCTGGTCAGTGGTCACCTACTGATGTGCAACTTAGCCTTGCATTTCTAACAAGTCTCCAGTAATTTTATGTATCTTGTCTTAATATTGTTATTCGTTTAATTATGATACGATTGTTTGACTTGTGGTTCTACCGATTACAGAAAGGCGTCTACCCCGATCTTTTAGCCACATCTGGCGACTACCTGCGAATCTGGCGGGCCGGCGAGCCGGACACGCGGCTAGAGTGCATACTCAATAATGTAAGTGACAGGCCGGACAGACGTGCCTGCTGGCTCACCTAGCATTGCTCTTTGAAGCGGGCGCTCAGGCCATTTATGTGGGTCTTAGAAGCGTCCTTGTGGAACTCGGTGGTTGCGTAGCAAGTAGTGAGTGATTTGCGGTAAACCACGATCGTATGTTAGAAGCACATCCATCTTGAATGCTCTTCCGTCTTTCTTTCAGAACAAGAACTCGGACTTTTGCGCGCCGCTGACGTCGTTTGACTGGAACGAGGTGGATCTGAACCTGATCGGCACCTCTTCCATCGACACAACGTGCACCATCTGGGGACTGGAGACAGGTCGGTGGTCAAATGAGGTCGGTGGTCAGACGAGCTAGACACGCTGGAGAGCTGCGTGCCACTGAATTGTGGGTGTGTTGCTGTCAAGTGTGCAGTGGCTTCTATCTACCACTCTTTGTGTTTCCATTAGTCGTAGACTTCCCCTTATTTCGGTAGTAAACTTTACATGGTAATAGTTAGCCAGTGGACTGGATCGCAACATAAATTAGTCTTTCATCAAGTGATGTAAAAGTGTACGATCTTCTAAGACATCTTGGCTCGTTTCACTTGATATGGGAGCTGCCTTGTCCTCCCCGGGGCTCTCGGTCGGCTGTTCCTTACAATATAATTCCGTTTTTACCTCGCAGGTCAGGTGTTGGGCCGAACGAACCCGGTGTCAGGCCACGTCAAGACGCAGCTGATAGCCCACGACAAGGAGGTGTACGACATCGCTTTCAGCCGAGCCGGCGGCGGCAGAGACATGTTCGCCTCTGTCGGTACGAGACCGGGACGGGCGCTGGGTATCGTCCTTTGATATTGACAGTGATTTTGTCCTTCAGCCAGGCCGGCGGCGGCAGGGACATGTTCGCCTCTGTCGGTACGAGACCGGGATGGGGGCTTGGTATTTAGAGGACGTTCCTTTCACCTGGGATAGCTGTTCAGTACTGGATGTTTACCTACTTGTACCACTGTACCAAGTGAGAAATGTTATGTGGGCGTGGAATAAGGAAATGGGATATTCGACATTCCGTCAGGCCCGATTTTGGCTACATGATATTAAGATCTTGCTGATTTTAATTTGTCATTTTTTTGCGCTGTCTCTATTCTATCCCAATATGAACACCCCTCCCCCTTCTCTCTCCTCCACCCAGGCGCGGACGGCTCGGTGCGTATGTTTGACCTGCGCCACCTGGAGCACTCGACCATCATCTACGAGGATCCGCAGCACACGCCGCTGCTGCGGCTAGCCTGGAACAAACAGGAGCCCAACCTGTTAGCCACCATCGCCATGGACTCGTGTGAGGTGAGGACGTGGGACAAAGATGCGACAGCGGAGTGGCGGAGAAGAAGTTAGGATCATGGCTGTGCAAGGATGGTAGTCGTAGGGTGATACTGACTGACCAGTGGTTGGCAGTCTGTGGATGGTAGATGGCGCTGACTGCTGTGAAGCTCGAGTACGAATGGGGATCCAGGATGGTCGGCGGTAGTGTTAGTAACTAATCAAATCGGTAGCCGATTATACTCATGCGCAGATTAATAGCAATAAGGTCAGAGAGTCTATCTCCTTCATTAACACCCCGCCTCATCGCCAGGTGATCATACTGGACGTGCGGGTACCGTGCACGCCCGTGGCGCGTCTCAGTAACCACCGAGCGTGTGTGAACGGTGTGGCGTGGGCACCCCACAGCTCGTGTCACATCTGCACGGCCGGCGACGACCACCAGGCGCTCATCTGGGACATTCAGCAGGTAAATAGGCTGAGTGGATTGTGACTGAATTTGATAGGAAAGGAACTAGGAACTAGGTACGGATGACAGTGCAGGCAGGCTGTGGTAAATGATCCGTCCTGCTGATGCCTGTGCCTTTTTAGTGTGAGTTCTTATTTTAGCCTGATCATGATATGCTCGATGAGGCGGTTTTTCGACGTTTCGGTCTAGGGAAGTTGATTTTTTGTTATTTAATTGCGTCGCCTTTTTGAAGCTGTGGTCATTTATAGATGATTATTGCATTCTTGATTCCCACTCCCAGCTTGCTATCAATAAACAAAAGCACCTGTACAATGTACATCCTTATTGCACCTCCGAGCGCGTTAAAATATCAATCGCTACTCTCCTCTGACCCGGCGTCTCCCCTCCCCAGGTGCCACGCTCCATCGAGGACCCGATCCTGGCGTACACGGCAGCAGACGGCGAGATTAACGGCATCCAGTGGGGTGCCACGCAGCCCGAGTGGATCAGCATCTGCTACAGCCGGGTACTGGAGATCCTGCGCGTCTGAACGAGCCGCAGAGCCGCGGAGAGGGTATCATGTCTGAGGAGAGAGTCGCGGAGAGGATCTCTGGGTCGGAGGGAGCAAGGGCATCAGTGATGCAGCGGAGAAAGGGATCTCTCGAGTCTGAGGGAGAGGAAGAGTCTTCGAGTCTCAGCGGAGTGATTGAAAGCTTGCGACTCAAAACGGGAATTCTTCGCCCACGGAATGATTTTCTAGAACAACTGCTCTGACTGCTGACTAGTTCTCAAGAGCTCAAACTGCAAGGTTATCCCGTCATCAGAAAGCTCACCCCTTGCTGACATCTCGCGATTCTACACTCGCTGAAAAGGCATGTAGACAACCCCAGCTGCAGTTCAGAAAGCCGATTCGTGAAGCTGTTGAGAATCTCTTGCCAACTCTCGCCAGGGTGGCGTCCTAGATGGCGCTGCGTACACGGAGCTGCCACTGACGTCCTCACGGCGCTGGCCGATACCGCTGAATATCCGTTGTCTCCCACTGGAACCGGAGCATCCCGTGGGGATTCGTGGTACTCCGCTGAGTGGCCCTTGCTGAGACAATTCGGGGCGTCGACCGGCCGCTGCGGTGTGTCCGATGAGCTGTGGTCGCAGTGGCTGTCCCACTTATCACCAGACTACGCTGAACCGCCCACTTTTGAGGCTTGTGGGCCCGTGCAGCTACGTCTTGGCTCGGCCTGAATGGCACGGATGAGCTGAAGGGTCGTCTGACCACGACTATGGACTGTATGTGTGTCTGGCGTTGTCACGCTGAATACCCACCAACAAGTATGTGTCGTGAGTCGTTTCGTGCATGTGTCATGTATGCGTGTTAGCATTGTGTGTGCTGGGAGCATGTTTTATTGTTATTGTACTGTGTATCGCCGTCATTGTCAAACCGCTGCGTTATGTGTTTCTTTGACGGTGATGCAGAAGTTTCCCTCTCGTTTATGCTCGGTATTTGCTCCCTCAGATTATTCTGATAATCTCGAGGCACCATGTTCGGTGCAAAGTGGATTTTGGGCATTACTGAGAGACTTGTGCGATACTGAGATGTTTTAACGAAATTTGTCGTGTATCGGTAGGCTGTCTTTTATATTTTTCCTCTTTTATCATGTTATGACTACTTTTAATGAACTACCGGCGCGAACGACAAATTTGTAGCACGTTTTGTGTTTTTGTACAATATTGGTGCCTGGTTTCAATGTGGTGTGTGTGTGTGGGGGGGGGGGGGGGGGGGCAAATGAATTTCCCATGTGTACATGGCGTGAAGGGCCACAGTGTGTCGATTTGCTGCTTAAAATCACACAGAAGCTAGTGAGAACCAGTGAAATAATGTATTACCTGCGGCCCAGTGACCATATACGATGCTTCCAACCCAACCGGCGGCGTTCCGTCGGCTTTTATCGTGTTCTATGTAACCGGATGACTCTCTTTCTGTGCGGACAATTCAACACAGTTGTGGTATGGATTTGCGGTGCTGCTTTCGTCCTCTGTTGCGTGCTGCTCAAATGGTTTCATGCGCACTCGAAATCTCTGGATTTTGGGTATCCGGCGAGAAAAATATTGAGTACAATCCGCTTATTTAGTTTTTCATGAAATTGGTATGAATTATGTGTTGTATGAACTACTCACTGCTGGGTTACCGTTGCTCAATTAGTTCAGCTGCGTTTTCCTAGTTAACATATCGCCTCTCCAAGTGATCATGGTACTTGGCCCCCGACAATTTGTGACTGCATCGTCTGTCTGATTTTATAGCCTCACCCCCTCACTAAATCCTTCAATTTCTGGAAGGAGCATTTGCTGTATGCCATAACTCACTGCACTTTACCTCGGCGGGTCGGTTGTCTTTTCAGGCAGTACCCATCGCGTGCTGTTTGTGGTGGGATTGTGTTCGTCGCTACTTCGCGCTGTTTGGTTTGCTCTCCAACGAACTGTTTTTAACGACGATGGATGAAATATGTGGGGAGCATGCCTGCTGTGATGACCTCTGTGTCGATGGAGTGTTCTGGTTAATGGAGTCCGTGGCTCCACTCGAAATATGCTTGCCTGAGAGTAAATGTGTAATAAAAGTGTCTTTCTGAGTTTGTGTTTCGTAAGCTCATAAGAGTTTTCCAGTATCTTCATGAAGCATAGCTTCCACCGTTCCATGGAGCCGTAGATTTTGTAGGGAAATCAAAATTTGAACTGTCTTTAGATCTAAATGATGAAGCTATTGGTCGCTTTTAGGGGTTCAACGAGTTCCAAAGCCTACCAGTCCGTTTTATGACCGCAGGTGCGAGGTCCTCTCCTAGTCCTCAGCCATATGGCTCTCGAGGGTCTTTTCAACAAAGGGGGCTCCCTGAATTAAAGATCACTTGTGAATTGGGCCCCTACAGGCTTTGAGAGTGATCTCCCGCCCTGTGAATGACACAGAAGTGTAGGGCAAGTGTAGGGGCTCGACTTCCACCCGTTTTGTGGTGTTGTAACTCTGGCAGCTGATCTTGTCAGCTCTAGTTATAGGGATCTACTATACACACAGAAAAATATTGACACCGTTAGCGGTGTAATTGCACAGTACATATCTGAGCACTTGAGGAAAGTTAATTTAGTCCCTTCCCCGCTTAAATTACTCGCGCTTCTAAATGAACACCAGGAAGAAGGTAATAGAACACTGTTAGGAGGGTTGGGTGTTTTACTACATGTAGTAAAACACCCAACCCTCCTAACAGTGTTCTATTACCTTCTTCCTGGTGTTCATTTAGAAGCGCGAGTAATTTAAGCGGGGAAGGGACTAAATTAACTTTCCTCAAGTGCTCAGATATGTACTGTGCAATTACACCGCTAACGGTGTCAATATTTTTCTGTGTGTAGATGTCGCAAAACGCTGGGCGCTGCAATCTAGCACGGTGCTCGGCGCTCGCTCCTCGTCGATAGAACATTCACATTTCACATGGGTGGCGTTGCTTTACCAGGTACTCCTGTAACTCTCCTATAAGGCCATTCAACGTTCTGATCAGGCCGATCAGGCCTATATACGGCCTTGGTTCTGATACCTCACTTTTGCTTTTTACTTTTTCCTTGTTCTACGCTGGCAAACCATATTTATGGAGCTCTTGAGAAGAGAAGAACTCAGATATCGCATCTTCATTTGGATTGCGTGGTGATCGTCTTGGGTAATGTTGGATTTTATCAATATTTTTGCCACTGTCTTATTGTTATTTGCATTGACGATAATAGGCCTAGCTGGGATGCCTACCGGTAACCGGAAGTGCTTTATTTTTTCTTTTTTTCTTTTTCAAGCGATCGGCATTCGGCCGCGTCGGCGGACGCAAAACGCAAGAGTTTCTGGCGGCGTGCGGCGTACGTGAATGTACTGTTTCCCGCTGGGGCAGTGTTGGTGTGCTTTTTGTGATTATTATTTGTGATTTCGTTGACTTGCGGTGACATTAGCGGTGTTCATCAATCATCAGAGCAAAATCAGCTTCATTCGAAGTCATTAAAGAAAGCGCGGTTTTGAGGCTCATGATTTACATATATAACTCAAACTGCAATGAAAACCGTAAGCCTCATGCTAATAATTATATTCAAAATAGGGCCAAGAGAATAAGACAACTGTTTCGTGCATAGCACATAGACCTGACGATGTGCTATGCACGAAACAGTTGTCTTATTCTCTTGGCCCTATTTTGAATATAATTATTAGCATGAGGCTTACGGTTTTCATTGGCAGTTATACATTCATTCGAAGTCGTCGACTGCCGCTTGAAGAAGGAAGGATGGCCCCCGAATTGAAGGTAAGGCGTCAAGTGAACGTGAGCGGTGTCTCATACCGATTTCGTAATTACATTTTACCCTCGCCCGCACATGCCATTTTCCCATCCTAGAGAACGCACATGGGGGGGGGGGGCTGCCACCCCCCCCCCCCGCGCCATTTCGTTCCTGTTGGAGATAGAGCTTAGCGGTAAAGACCAAAAAGATTCTTTGGGAAGAGACGAATCCAATGATACCCAGTTATACCTTCTCAGGTCAGTCATTGACCTTCCAGGTCAGGTCAAACTAAAAAATGTTGCTGTTTTGGGCCACTGTTTGCGTTGGATATCAAGTGCGCTGCTTATCATATACCGATGACGATGCCGTTCTCTGGTGCCAAGCCAGCTAGAACCTCTTTGTCACACTACCCGACCAGATTTTTGCTTCTGAGGTCATTTCAGGTCAAGTTAGGTCAAGGTCAATTATGAGTTTGTATGTCTGTGTGTGTCTGTGTGCATTCTGATGTGTGCACCGATTGTTTATGTGTCCATATTACATGAAATCATGATCTGAGAAGCTTTTACCAAAAATGCAGTCAAAAAACTTCACAAAAGGTAAATTCCGCTTGCCTAAAACGCAATTATCTTAGATGACCTAGATTGACCTTGACCTTGACCTTGACATCTGTACATCGTCGAACAACATGTTCCATGATAGGTGGGAGGTAAGACTGGCAAAAAAGGCCGAAATCAGGGTGTCAAAAGCTCACAAGGCCCATAGTCTACGCAAGATGTTGAGAATTGGCCATTTGGGTCATGACATGACCTGAAAAACAAGGTCATATCTCCAAAACCAAAAACCACAGAAACTTGAAATTTTCAGTGGACATCAAGAAAGGATAGAAGAGCAGCTATACGAAAAATCAGCCTTCTAGCTCTAAAAATGTTGAGTGCAGAGCAGAAAGACTACCTGGGGGGGGGGGTAGTGGCAACCCCCCCCCCCCCCCATGTGCGGGCGAGGGTTAACGAGCGCCGCGCCGGGCCGGTGCTTAGCGACTTCCGCGCCGGGCCGGGGGAAGGTGTCTGAACACCTCCATCCCCCTCCGTCTAACTCCGCTCCTGGGCCACGCAGCGACTCGCGGTAAGCGGCATTCGAAAGAGCGTCAAAAATAATGACGAAAGCATTTCGGTCATTTCTTGAGGGGGGTCAGGTAAAAAGGTCAGGTCGCCAGAGGTCACCAAAGGTCAAAGTTAGTCCATTTCAACAATTTTGGAAACTGCCAGCGGCTAACACGGGAACCAATAGAGGTAAGTACAGCGTCGCGGAAAACAGTGTCCAGTTTTGGGTGGGAAGTGACATCCAAATGAAATCAATTTTCCCCTTTCATCTCCAATTTTCCAGAACAATTTTTCACTCCTAATTTTACCAATAAAGAGCACTTGCACGTACATTTGCTGGCTGGCTTTAACCTACCTCCATTATCCATATTACATTGCATCATCTTAGGTATACCTAATGCGGCTCCCATCCCACAGCAAGGCGTGGAAATCCAGGAGCCCCAGCTGGAAACGGGCTGACGAGCTGACTTCCTGTCTTCCGGAATCGAAATCAAAGTAGCATTCTTGATTCTGTTTGCGATTATATTGATAGAAATAATATAGGTGGGTTGAAAAGAAAGTTGCGGATCGGCTGTCAATCGTAATGAGTTTAACCTCGCCGGCACAGGCCATTTTGCGTCCTTCGACGGCACAAGGGGGGGGGGGGGGGTTGGTACGACCCCCCTCGCGTTGGGCCCCTGATCGAGCTAGAGCTTCGCAGAAAAAACGAGCGTGTTGCCCGTCACGAGAGGAAGCAGATGATACCCAATTTTAAGGTCCTAGGTCATCGGGTGACCTTCCAGGTCAGGTCAATGACCCGAAAACCGGGAAAATCGGGACCTGTTAGAAAGTCGTTAAGTGTGGCTGGTATGTGGTTTTCTGGGATGCTGATCACGAATATCGTGTTAGTTTTGATCAGAGATGATGTCTTTAAGCATTTAGACCAGGTCAGGTCAGGTCAGGTCAACCGGTAGGGGTTGTGACGGATATTCGTAATACGTGTCAACCGCCTCTAAAAGCTTCGTAACATGTTACGAATGCACCAAAACTACTTCGTAAATGTTCAAATGGTTGCTAAATTCCAATTCAGCTCCAAAAACTAGCCTAGAAACATGTAAAACACGAAAAAGTGAACCGAGGTCACCCGAGGTCACCAAAGGTCAATGACCTGACCTGACCTTCAGGCGACCGTGACACCCACCCTAATGCATGGGAGCAACGTCAAATCACATGTTTGAACGTTTGAAACCACGAAAAGCCTGCAAACGCGCGGCTAATAAAAAAGCCTGTAAACGCGCGAGCCGACATACGCCGAATCGCGATTCCGGCCAAACATGGTCTCGGAAAAGAGGTCACAGGTCAAAGGTCATTTGGGTCAGGGTCATGAAATTTTCAGGGTAGGTGTAAAGTTGATCAATGCGAGGGTACTGAAAGTTTCGTCGCGATCGGCCGCTTTTTACGCGAGTTATTCGCAAAAAAAAACCTTAGGGGGGTTGCATCAACCTAACCCTAACCCTAACCCTAACCTAACAACCTAACCCAACCTAACCATCAACCATAACCCCCCCCCCCCCTGTGCCGGCGAGGGTTAAAATAAGTGAATCGGTGAATTGCCTTTTCGTGTTGCTTGTAGACTTTAGGTATCTTGGATGCTGATTGCTAGCGTCGCTGAACTGATTTCTAGTCCTTTTCTCAAATATCCTTACCTAGTACCTACCTATGAAGTTATTGATCAAGCGAGTTCCGCAGCCACCCTGGCTCTGCCCGGTTCGGCAGCTGGCTGCAGCGGCCCGTTAGCCCTGCAGGTGGTGATCAAGGCCGGTAACCGAGTCGTCGGCGCCGTCTGACCCCATGGCCGCCGGTGGTGTCGGCCGCGCGGTGTCAATGCCGTGTCGCCGCTCTAATTGACCTGTCGCCGGTCGGGTCCGCTTCGTTACCCCTGCCGGCGCCCAATCAGCGCGCTGGCTCCAATCAGCCCCCGGTCCGATTCCGCACTGGGCCGGCGGCAGTCCGCCACCACGGTCGGGTCACTGCTCCGGGCGTCGCGCCCGGCCGCGCCGCCCGCAGCCATTGCGCAACCCCACTTCCCGTCCGTCCGTCCGTCCGTCCGTCCGGTCGGTCGGCTGCGGCGGCGGCTGTGGCGCCTGTTGACGGGCCGTCCGCGGCACACACGCGTCAGCAGCGCGGGTCACCGGCCGCGGGTGCTGCAACAAACAGAGGGCGTCGACTCGACGACCGGCACGCACTCGGCAACC